ATTTGTAGTCCAATCTACCGCTGTTTCTTTACCAGAATATCTAATCCATTTCTGTTCACTGCAATTAATTAACAGTAGAGCATTTATGTTAAACATTTTGTTAAACATCCCTTCCCCCTCAAAGCAGAGTTCTTGTTAGCAATTTACTTTTTCATTTGCTATCATTTTGGGGGATAATTATTACAAAACCACTTATATTCCCTTTATCACCTGAAAGTTCTCTTATCTGTACCAATGATCTCCATTTTATTTTTAGGTTGTCAATTACAATTATGTAGTCCACATCCCCCATTTCATTGCAAATTTATTATATGTATTCAAGTGGTTATTTAGTGTCAACACTTTGGATTATTGGGCTGGGAACATGTTTTCTTTCTAGAGAACTCCCTTTACTACTTGTTGTAAAGCTATTCTGATGGCTACAAATTCCCTTATTTTCTGTTTATCTGGTAATATCCTAATTTCACCATCAGTTTTGAATGATAATTTTGCTGGGTAAATTATTTCAGGTTGATAGTTATTTTCTTTCAAGGTTTTGTAAATGTCACATCACTGCCTTCTTGCCTGCATAGTTACTGATGAGAAATGGCACTTCTTCTTATTGATGCTCCTGTGTGACATTTCCCTTATTTCGTGCTGCTCTCAAAAGGCTTTCTTTGTCCTTGTACCTGCTAAGTCTGATGATGATGTCTCTTGGGCTGTTTCTCTTATCATTTAGCCTACATGGATCTCATTTAGCATCTTGGATAATCATCTCATGTTCCAGATTTGGGAAATTCTCTATAATTATTTCTTCAAAAATATCTTCTAGACTTTGTATGCTCTCTTCTCTTTCTGAACTTCCTACTATGTGTATATTATTTCTCCTCATGTAGTCCCACAGAGCCCTTATGCCCTAGAAGACGATGATTCTGAGATTACTCAGTTTGAAGACCAAGTAGAAAAAATGAACAGGGCATAAGGGTACTATGGGACTACACGAAGAAAAAACGTTGTTTGTTTGTTTTTTTAACTTTAATCAGGGAAATAGATCAATATTTACAATGACTGTTTCAGTGCTATGAAATAGATTCAGATTGAAAAATAATAGCTGCATTTGATGACAGGAGATCATTAGTAAGTCTAACAAAAGTGTTTCCAGAGCACTTACATAGGCACAGTTACACTGTCTTGTAGTTGTTATTGTTAGGTGCCGTTGTTCAACTTGACCCATAGAGACCCTATGCACAACAGAACGAAATAATACATGGAGTCACTGTGCTATAAAGAACTTGTCGATAGTCCAGCATTTCAGGAGGTTGCATATGAACAAGAACCAATGGTGCTAAAGGGCGAAGTTCAAACTGCACTGAATGTATTAACCAAAATCAAGGTTCCAGGAATTGACAAAATAAATATCAATTGAAATGTTTCAGAAAGCTTCATCTTCCCGAGAAACCATAGATGGATTTAAACAGACAACCTTTCCATTAAGAATCTATCACTAAACCCCTATGTCACTAGTGTTCCCGAAGCAAGAATTTTGTTGTTGTCATTAAGTGCTATCAAGTCCATTCAGATCCAAAGCAATTCTGTGTACAACAGAATGAAACACTGCCTAATTCTATACCATCCTTATAATTTTTGTTATGTTGAGCTCATTATTCCAGCCATCTTCTTGATGATCTTATTTTTCCATGCCCTTCTACTTTAAGATGCAGGATATTCTGAAAAACTTGCCATTGAAAACCCTTTTGATGGAGACAGTATCAAGGCAGTTCTGCTGTGTCACACTCAGAATACACACACAGGTGGCATAAACAATTCAGTACTCAATTACTAACCCAAAGTTGGAGTTTCAGATTTGCCCAGAGGTAGCGCAAAGAAAGGCTTCTTCCTACCTATAGTACAATCCCTTCCTATGACGTATGTTTTACCTGTAATCAGGGGGCTTGCATGCCCCCCAAATATATATAAGCCTTTGTTAGAAATAAATCTCTCTTCTCCCCCGCTCTGATCATGTTGTGCATGGACCTGGTTGGTGAGATCATGTCCGTTCAGGAGGAGAGCATGCTACTATGAAATGTGTCTCTGACTCCTTTATTTTACCTTCTCTTCTATCTTTCTTATTCTTGATGATTTTACTATAATATTTATATATCATAACCATAAAAGTGCACCTACCTGACCTGTGATAGTATGAGGGTCTGGTTTCGCCCACATCTAGAGACCTCAGTATAGGTGCTGGATACTGAAGAAAACTTCGCCAGAAGGGTTTCCTAATCCTTTGATTTAGAAAAATAAAGCAGATGCAGTTTGAGGAGGTTCCCTAAGGGGAGCTGAGTACCCTGGAGTCATTTGCAGGAACAGTAGAACTACTTCAGGAATAAAAAGACCAGAGGGAATGGAGAAGATCCTATATGTGGCTCTAACTCTACTCCCATCGGACAGACAAGTAAATGAGATCACTCCCATGACTCCCAAGGAGAAAACTTCCATCAGTCAACACAGCAATTTATTTAAAATGAAGTGAGGGGAGCAAATAATCCAGTTGCATGTTTCTCTCTGACTCAGCTGTCCTAGGCCAAGAGGCAATATACCAGGTGTCAGTCAATCTGACCTGCTTTCCACACTTGGATTTTTTTCTCTGCCTCTCTGGGTGCATGGCTCCTGTCCTTATCTGTCCTCTAGTGAGACAAGCAATGGAAATGGACCGCAAGCCTCAGATTCAACTGTGATTCCTTCATACCACTCTGAAAGTGCTGCAGCAAAGAGGTAAGAAATGCCCCCACTTTCCAGGTGCATAGACGGGATTCTTCCCCCACTCTAGTTGCCATTGAATCAATTTTGACACATAGTAACCTTATGTGTGTATGAGTAGAACTGTGCTCCATAGTGTTGACGATGTTTAGAAGTAGATGGCTGGTTCTTCTGAAATGCTTATGGGAAATGCTGTTTGTAAGCAGCTGAGCATTAACTGCACCACCCATGCATTCCATACAGGGCTGTACAGGGGAAGGACATTTTCCCATACATCAATAAAAGCAACAGAGCCCACATAGAAGAAGCACTCCAACCTGTGTGGTCATGAAGTGTTGATGGGAATAGGTATCAAAAGGTCAAAAACAAGCAATCAAATCCATGTGAAGGAGCGTGGATGTAATGGAGACCCCAAACCCACCTGTAAGATAATTGGACAGTTCCTCACAGAATGGCCAAAAGGAAAGGATGATATATCCAGGATCTGGTAGAGCACTGATGAAACACATAACCATCCTCTAGTTCTTTAACATTCTATCCCCTATTATTATCATTTCAATTCTACCTCATTAACCTTGTTAGACTTGTGCATGGTCTTTGGTAAAATGAAAATCATTCTATGCATGAAAGCCAGCATAGGTAACCCCCCAGAAAAAGTAACAGGATTAATGGTTTCCTGAGGGTATGGGAAGAAAGAGGGAGAAGGGAGGGAAGGGGGAGGTGATAGCAATGATCACTCTATAACCCCACTGATGGTAGCGAACAACAGAATTGTAGGTGAATGATATATTAGATAGTGTAAGATATGGCAATATATATGCATATATATATATTTATACAAAAACAATAATAAGGGTTCCATGAGGCATAGGCGGGGGGAGGCAGGGGATAAAAGGTAGTGTGTATCAGGAAGGTCAAGAAGAAGGAGAATGTTGTGAAGCTTCTTGTAACAAGTGTACAATACTGCTTGATGTGATTGAACTGTGCAATGTTATCATATCTGTAAGAGCTCCCAATAACATGATAAAAAAAAAATAATAATAAAGGCAAGACACCATCCTACCCAGAATAAACAAACAAATAGATAAATAAATAAAAGTCTGTGGATGGGCTCTCCAAGTCTACTTACATCTAATATTCTCTGATCTCCAGATATAATATCCTATTTCTCGCTCAATTGCTGGGCTTTCCATACCCCATAACTCTCTCTCTGTCCACTTGAACATCCTCACTGTAGACATTTAAAAAAGAAGTTACAGTTTTAATATTCACAAGCACCTCTCCTATGAGCTAGGTCACTCGTATATGGTGATAACCAGTTGCTCTCAAGTCAGCGCCAACTCATGGCAGCCCTGCGTGTGTCAGAGTAGAACTGTACTCATAGGGTTTTTGATGGATAATTTTTCGGAAGTAATCACCAAATCTTTCTCTGGAACCACCTCTAAGTAGACTCAAACTTCCAGTTTTTTAATTAGCAGTTGATCATGTTAAACATTTGTACCAACCAAGGTATCTTGAGTTGAATACACCAATTATAGTATGTCCACTTCTTTCCCTTGTTTTTCCCCCTAAATTTTTGTTTCTCTTCCACCTATTTTTCTTGTTATTTCTTATTTCAAATACCATTCCCACTCTTCATCCAAATTGCTCATGATGTTATCTTTTATTTTGTTCTGTGGGGTTGCCTTGAGTGGTACCACTTATATGACAGATAACAACTACTACAAAGGTCAATTACTGATTGGATAGCGACTGGCGAACTCTTTAGGACAAAGACCTTTAGTGTCTTTTCAGACCTGGAAACAAACGCATCCCCCTAGTTCAATGTTGAGCCAAACAATGGAGAGGTTTATAAGATGAACAATAGCAATTCAAAGTCATGAAGTATGAATCCTTAAGATAATCAATTATTTTACATCTGAAGGGTAGTATCTGTCCAAAGACAAAATTCAGAAAGTAGGAAGTGATAGGGAAGACAAATGAATGGGAGAGGAAAACACAATAGTGAGTTACGTAGTGCTACTTGTGGGTGTTACAAACAATGATCTGAAAGAAAGTGTGTATGAATTGTCAAATGGAAAACTGATTTGCTCTGTAAATCTTCACCCAATTCAGAATATAAAGTTAAAATGAAACAAAGGTCAACTAAAGAAAACAAACTCTTTAGGAAAACTTAAGGCTTTGTGATTGAAAGAGTTTTAAGTGTATGACATATTACTGTGTTATTGTTCATCCTTGCTTCTTTGTAGACAATTTCCATAAGACACATGGAACCCCCAAATCAAACAGATATTTCAAAGTTTATCCTCCTGGGACTTTCAGAAGATATGGACCTGCAGCCCTTCCTCTTTGGACTGTTCCTTTACATGTACCTGCTCTGTGTTATAGGCAACCTACTTATTATTCTTGCTGTCCGCTCAGACTCCAATCTCCACACCCCCATGTACTTCTTCCTCTCTAACTTGTCATTGACTGACATCTGTTTCACCTCCACCACGATCCCTAAGATGCTAGTGAACATCCAGACACAAAGCAGCAGCATCACCTATGAAGACTGCCTTATCCAAATGTATTTTTTCATGGTTTTTGCTGGACTGGAAAATATGCTACTGACAGTGATGGCCTATGACAGATATGTGGTTATCTGCCACCCTCTTCGCTATATGATCATCATGAATCCTCGCCTCTGTTGTCTCCTGCTTCTGATTTCTTGGTTTATCTGCCTGATATACTCTTTGCTGCAAATTTTATTAGTTTTAAGGGTCTCCTTCTGCAGAGAGACAGAAATCCCCCACTTCTTTTGTGAGCTTGCTCAAATCCTCAAGCTTGCCTGCTCTGACACCTTTTTAAATGACATTCTGCTATACTTTGTAACTTGCCTGCTGGGTGTTATTCCCCTGACTGGGATCCTTTTTTCTTATTCTAGAATTATTTCCTCCATAATGGGAATTTCATCCACCAGAGGGAAGTATAAAGCATTTTCCACCTGTGGATCTCACCTCTCTGTTGTCTCCTTGTTCTATGGTGTGGGGCTTGTGGTCTACTTCACTTCTAGAACAGCTCATCCCTCCAGAAAAGGCTCAGTTGCCTCAGTGATGTACACTGTGGTCACCCCTATGCTGAACCCCTTCATATACAGCCTGAGGAACCAGGACATAAAGGGGGCTCTAAGGAAACTTGTCAGTAGAGGAGTTTGCTATCAATGAGATAACGAAAGTGAAGATCAGACCACAGATCCAAGTGCTGATAACTGGTGTTCCTGAATATGTAATCTAAATATTATATTGGGGTATGTGTTGGGCAACTAACAGTAAGATCAGTAGTTTGAAACCAACAGCTGTAACATGGAAGAATGGTAAGACTTTCTACACCTTAAGGATTTAGTCTTGAAAACAACAGGGTCAGTTCTACTCTGTCCTAGATGGGCAGAAGTGACTCCCTGGCAGTGTTTTCAGTTTTTAGTTTAGTGAGATATTAGAAGAAAACATTATTGAATCAAATGGTAGATGAAATAGTATATCTACCATTCATTACCTACCCGAGGAAATGAATGATACTCAGCTAATACCTAATACTTCTTGTGAAAATATACTGTTTCGATGATTATAGACTACTTCCTACGAGCATCACAGGAAGGGAAACCATTTAGTGAATGAAGCAAGGGAGAAGAGAGTACAAAAGCAACAACAAACCTTTACATATTATTACATATTACATTACTTTAATCTTTCCTTTATTGGTTATTCTTTTAGTTTTTTATTGCTGCTACCAAGGAAGCAACACAAATGAATGGCTTTAACAACAAATTTATTTTCTCACAGTTAATGAGAAAAGATTTCTAAATTCAGAGTGCTGGCTCCAGGGGAAGGCTCTCTTTCTTGGCTCTAGGAAACATCCTTATTTCCGTTCAACATTTGTAGGCGCAGCATTCCTTGGACACCTCTAGGTTCCTTGACATCAATGTTCCCCTGGGTTTAGGAACTTCATAGTACAGGAACCCCAGCAACAGCTCTTCTTTCTTGTTGATAGTCTGTCTATCTACATATATTCTCTTCTCTTTCCTATTACATCTTGTAAGATAAAAGGAAGATCTCCTTGCATAGGATCAAGGTTGTCATGGGATTAAGTGTGTTTCATCCCACAATTGATATTCTTATTGGTCTATCACCTCAAATCATATTACGGGGGAACCATCATATAATTAATTGCCATATTATACCATTGCATAACTGCCAAACCCCAAGAATCATGGTCTAGACAAGGTGACACATTTTTTCCCCAGGGGGGTTGTGGGGGGGTGACATACAGGACATCCATGACAGTTTTGTACCAACGTCTAACATTATGTCTCTGGACAACACTTTTTTCTGATCTCAGATTAAGCGCTGTGTAAATTAACTTGAGTGTCTCATACTGACTCAGCCTTTCCCCCATAAAAGTTTACTCATTCATCATGCTTTGATGGTTTCTGTTGACCTATCCCAAGTGCTTCCTTAACTTCCTTAGGTAACTTGTTTTTGTTTATATTTTAAGAAGAGTCTCAATGTCAATTATTTTGTGTCAGCAGACCTGAAATAAAAATCCCCCAATCCAAAGAATCCAATTGGCTGTCTTTTCTGGCTGGTCAGCATGTCGCCAAAATATTCTCATTCTTAGCTTCTTGTCACAATTTAGGTTTCAAATAAAAATTGTCAACTCCTTATATAGGCCCACACTAATTACCATCCTCTTACCTATTTAAGTTTTTTTTTAATCACATAATATATTTGATTTGAGGGAAGCAGAGCATTATATATTGGAGTTCAAATCCAGCAATGTAATTCACTAATGGTTCAAGGTATAACAGCTTATTTAACTTCTCTGTTCTCTCTCTACTTGTCGTGTGAACTATGTAAATAGATACCATTCCTGAAGTGTTCTTTTAGGGATTAAATGATCTACAAGAGCTCAGAATACTATCTTGCACGGTGGTGTTGTTAGCTACCATTGGGTAGGCACAACCTCAAGGATCTCTGGTGGCATAGTAGTTACAAATTTGTTAAATAAAAGGTCTGTGGTGTGAATCCACTAGCTCCTCTGTGGAAGAAAGAGGTGATAGTCGGCTTCCATAAAGATTAAAACTCACTGTCATTGAGTTCATGCTATCTCTTATGAGTATCTGAAACCCTGTTTACAGGAAGAGAAAGCCCAGTCTTCCTCCCAGGGAGAGGCTCATGGTTTCTAACTGCTCACCACGAGGATCATAGCCCAACATGCAACCACTATACCAGATTAATCCTATGGAGAAGTTTTACCCTGTCTTTTAGGGTTGTGCTGAATCACAATCGAATTGTTGGAAATGGATTTCGGTTTTAGGTTCTAATTCATGGTGGCCTTATGTATAATTTAACAAACTTTACATTTTTCTGTACCACCTTCATATTTGAGCTCATTTTTTTTTGGCTGATAGATGAATCTATCTCATTGGGTATTTCCCTCACTTTTTTCTGACTTTCTATCAAATATGACGTCTTTTTCTAGTGCAGTGGTTCTCAACAGGTGTGTCACGATCCCTTTGGGGGTTGAATGACCCTTTCACATAGGTTGCTCTATTCATAACAGTAGCAAAATTTCAGTCATGAAGAAGCTATGAAAATAGTCTTATGATTGGGAGGGGTCACCACATGAGGAACTGTATTAAAGGGTCACAGCCTTAGGAAGGTTGAGAACCACTGTTTTAGTGCTTGGTATTTCCTGATGATGAATTCAAAAAGCAAGATGACATTTTATGGTCATTACTTATAAGAAGCTTTGCAGTTGTGATTTTTCTAAGATTGATTTGTTTCTTCTATTTTTTTAAATTGGAAATCGTGGTGTACTCAATACCATGGCCATCACTACAACTCATTTTAGTTTCCCTATAGGGAAGAGTAAGAACTACCCCATTGGGTTTCCAAGGCTTTATTCTTCAGAGACTGCCACATATTTCTCCTTAGAACCATTGATGGCTTCAAACCACCAACCTTTCAGTTAGCAGCCAAGTACTTAAGGACTGCAGCAACATGGCTCCTTTTCACAGGCATATGAACATAAGAGCACTCAATGTTGTGTTAGTGGTAACATACCAATGGGACTGTCAAGAGTCTATGCTGACCACCTGAAAAATGGAAAGAAATTGTGACAATCAGTCAGGGACTTTTCTCTCCCTTGTAAACTTGTACTAACAATAGGGGTATAACTGTCACCTAGGGGGCATGCAGTTGCCATATGGGGGAAGAGAAATATTCACTATCAATAGAATTGGAAAAACTATAACTAGCAAATGTTGCTTGAGATATGCGCTAGCCAAGGATGAGTGCATCACCTCAGCCTGACTCAGGCCACTGAAGAAGTTACGTATAAGAGTGGGCGCTGCTCAGGGCCCACATACCGGAGAAGTTAGAACATTGAAGCATAGAACTTTCTGTGCAGTTCTTTGAAAAGAAGTTTAATGAAGCTAAGATTATGGACTGTACTAGAGACTTCTGACAACAGTGTAAGAAATGTAAGAAGATTTGGATGGAGGTTAGCCTGTCAATCAGGTCGCAGCCTGATGACCTCCCTTGAACGTGTGATATATAGCTGAGATATATAGCTCTCTGGAGGGTGATCTCTCAATCTCTCTCTCTCTTTCTCTCTTCCTTGACCTTCCTGCTTACTGACACAGAGAGCTTCCAGAGCCCCTGCAATGCTTCCACTGACATTGGATCTACATGACTTTGCATCCACCAGCCTGTGATATTCCTGCATGCTGCATCATTGCATGTGACTGCATGAGTCAGAAGAAGAACTTATGGACTAATATCTGACTTATGGACTTGAGTTGGACTGCGCTTGGAGGTTTTCTTGATATTTAATTACTTCTTGATATAAAACTCTTTCTTGAGTGCCACTGAATTTGTTTCCATAGTCAACCTGGCCTAATGCAAACAGGAAACCAGAAGTTCAAAGCTTCCTTTACACTGGTTCAGCTCCATGAGATTTCTTGAACTGAGGGGTGGGGTGGGGGATGAACTTGAAAACCAAACTTCTTGCTGAGCAATGGATTTGGATTCAGGTATATCTATTAGAATTCCAATGTTACCATTTGTGTTAATCTGGGTTGGCTAAAAAAATAAATCCAGGACCCTCATAACAAGCTTATATCAAGGAGTAATTGTATATTGAGAAAGCATCCCAACCCAGTCCAGATCAAGTCCATAAGTCTGATATTAGCCCATATATATGATACCAGTCTATAAATTCCTTTTCAGATGAAACAGAGAGAGTGTGGGTGTCCCACCTCCAGGGATGACAGCAGAAGTTCTCAGAATCCTCAGGAGAAGGCCATGTCCACACAGAGGGGTCATTGGCTATTACCTGAATGACAGGATAGACTCCACCCCTTTGCAAGTTGACAGGAGATTATGTAACTGCCAGAATATTTAATAGGATCTTTGGTCAGTCTCTAAGGAGTCCTTGGGTTTTTATTTGCAAATGTATATGTGTAACATAACAAATGTGAAAGCTGGACAATCAGTAAGGAAGAATGAATAACCGACGCTTTGATTTGCGGTGTTGGTGAAGAATATTACGTATACCATGGTCTGCCAGAAGAACAAACAAATCTATCTGGAAGGAAGTACAACTAGAATGCTCCTTGGAAGTAAGGATGGTAAGATTTTGTCTCGTGTACTTTTGACATGTTATCAGGAGGAACCAGTCTCTGGAGAAGGATATCGTGCTTAGAAAAGTAGAGGGTCAAAAAAAAGAGAAACACCCTCCGTGAAATAGATTGACAGTGGCTGAAAAATAGCAATGATGGGGAGAATGGTATAGGACCATGATTTTGTTGTACACAGAGTTTCTATGAGTCAGAACTGACTCAACAATACTTAACTATAACAACAATGCAAGATGTATTGACACAACGGTTGCATCAATGCGCTCAAACACTGCAACTATTGTTGTGGGAAACTGAGAACCTGGGTGCAGCCTAATCTCTACATTCATAACCACCGGGCTTAGAAGAAAGGATCTAGTGAGAGAAGACTTTTACAGTTCCAAGATAGAGAATAAAAGCTAGTATGCATTCTCCAGTAGAAAGAGTTCTCTACACAACTGCCCTCCTCTAAGATGCGGATGTAAAGTTGCCTATATGGATGCCTGGCTTCTCACTACTCTAAAAGATGTCTGTGTCTAAGAGCAG